GTGGGAGGGACCAAGTGAGAGGTAATTGAATCATGGGGGTGGGATTTCCTGTGCTGTTCCTATGATAGTGAATAAGTCTCATGAGATCTGATGACTTTAAAAATGGGAGTTTCCCTGCACAAGCTCTCTTCCTTTGCCTGCCGCCATCCATGTAAGACATGACTTGCTCCTCCTTGCCTCTCAGCATGATTGTGAGGCCTCCCCAGCCACATGGAACTGTATGTCCATTAAACATCTTTCTCTTGTAAATTGCCCAGTCTCAGGTATGTCTTTATCACTAGCATGAAAACAAACTACTACAGCTCTTATTGGTGAAGGCTGGCCCCGGGGAAGATGCATACCTTGCAGGAGATTTATAGGACAGAGGATGTGCCTCTAGTCTGCCACATGGTTTTGCTTGTCTATTTTATATTTGTGGAGGATTGTCAAGATTCTTTAGAGATGCTTTCCCATTTTCTATCACAATGGTCCTGAGTGCTCAACAAGGCTGTTACATAACATGATGAACTTGACAAGATCAGTTAAATGACTCAACCAAGAACTCAAACCAAGGCTTTTCAATTGGGACCACTGCTTCTTCTACCCCACTGGGTCATGGTAAACACCTGGGACAGCGAGGAGGCTCTGAGGTTTCAGAAAATTTACATCCGTCTTCAAAACCAAAATTACCAGGGACTCCTTCATTTTGATTTGATGAATAAAACATCTTGTGTCCTGAACCCTTTGGAAAATTGAGGAATGAGATGTGGTTCTTCTCAAACTTGAATGTGCATATGAATCACCTGGGGGAGCCTATTAAAATGCAGATGCTGAATCAGGAGGCCTGGGCTGGGATATGCAGGTGATGCCAGTGCTGCTGCTGGTTCATGGATCACACTTCCAGTAGCATGAGATGGAGCCTCTGACTAATTTCTCTGCGTGGTCAGCATTAAGCTAATTGGCCATTATTGCCCTTTGCAATTCAGTAGTAGGAATTGTGGCTCTGACTTTGCTGTTGTGGGAGAAGTTGCTGACACACAAGCTGGCAATGCTTAAGGAAACGTTTTATTGTGGATCAATAACCACAAAAATATTCAAACCTTTTGGTTAAATAATTCTGCTTATGGATGTGAATTCTAAAGAAATAACCCAGAAGATGAAAAAAAAAATCTGTGTGAACAATGGTGTTCTACCACAGCACCACATATATTTAAAAAGAAATATTTAAAGTCTGTGTCTAATATAAAGGAAATGATTAAGTAAATTGTAATAAAGTAACTCAATGCAACCAAGACAATATTGTAGACATATGTTCATCTTCTCCCTTTCCTCAAATACAACATGTCACTAAAGGAACAAAAATGGCATGAACTCACAAGATTAACAAACTATTAATAATTTCAACACATTTGTCCAAGATACAAAGTCTTTGTAATTGGGGAATATAACCACAGGCCCCCATGTCTCTATTTGTAATGTTTTATTTTTTTAATTGGTCAGTGAGTACAAGGGTGATTTCTTACAATTTTTATACCTTTCTGCATGCCTGAAATGTTTCAAAATTTAATAAAAAAGAAAGTGCACAGGGACAGAGTGAAGAACATTCTAAATTACATGTTGGGGGCAGAAGTAATGTGACAAAGTAAGCCAGTTTTTGCAACAAAGCCTGGCCTTGGCTCTTGAAGGCACCAGGGACCACGGAAGGCAGGAATGAGGCATGGGGCTAACAGCAGCGGAATGGTCAAGTCTGTCCCAGGAGACCTTGTACCCCTAGATCTCCTGCCCCACTAGGAAACAATCCTTCCCAACTACCACGACTGAAGGATATGGGCAGTTTTTTCTTGAGAGAAATTGAGCCACATACACTCAGAACTCAGACACATCAGCTATCAGAAGAGGCCAACTGAAAACAAGAGAATTAATGGAAGCTCTACACACTGAACTGTGGGGCCTGTAGGGATAGAAATTGTGATACCTTTCCTCATCTATAATAAGGATTATGGCCAACACTGCTATAACAAAAGAAGTTAACAAGAGAAAAGCATAAATGCATTTATTTCATCAGTTTTATGTGACACCGAAGCCTTCAGAAATGAAGACTCAAAGACACAGGGAAAACTGTCTGTATTTGTACTTAGGTTCCATGAAGAATGGGCAGCCTTATAGAAATGTGATTGGACAAAAGGGTGTGATCTACTGGTAACAGACTGAGGGGAAGAAACCCAGCAAGGCCTGTCTGTTTAGATTCTTTTTAGTCTCTCTGAGTAGCATTCCTACCTCCCGGGTAGGACCTCTCTGGAATGAGGGTTTTCAAGGGAGAAGGGAGTGACCTTTCTAGGTTTTGTGGCTTGCTTTAAGGGAGAGACATTCTAGTTTCTATGACCCACTCTGGGGAAAAAGAATTCTTGTTTCTGTGACTTACGTCAGGAGAGAAAAAGGGATGGAAGGCAGGGGCAGGAGAGAAGGTGAAAGCCTTGGCTTCTGAGGCCCTTCCAATCTCCTTTAGTTCAAAGTACTCAGCATGCCAACATGCTATACTTTGGAGTATCATGTTCTGAGCCCCAACAGACACTCAGCCCCATCCCGACCCTGCTCTCAGGCCTCCAGGAGCCAGACATATATACCCATAGGCAAGAGACTGACAAACTACAACCCATGGGCCAAACCATACTCCATTCTGTTTTTGCAAATAAAGTTTTATTAGAACACAATCACATGCATTCATTTGCAAGTTGCCTATGGCTGCTTTTATGCCACAGCAGTAGAGCTGAGTAGTGGCAACAGACACCATCTGGCCCACAAAGCCTAAAATATTTACTATCTAGGCCGTACAGAAGAAACTTGCCTATGCCCGCTCTAGAGAAAAATAGATGCCCCAGAGGAAAGACTCCAGATCCCTCATTTGGAGCTCCCATGAAAATACTGGTAAACTTCCCTATGACAATAAAGCCCATCAGTGACAAGCCCCATCCACACGCCCACCGAGCTGCCAAGCAGGTTTCAGTATCTCACTCTTAAGCACAAATGGATGTGCAAAGATTTTCCAGACACTCAAGCCTCAACGTGAAAGAGTATAATCAAAATAAACAGAAAAAAGGAACTTGGAAGAACCAAAATAATTCAACAAGTAAAAGAAACTTACAATGAAAGTATGGAGTTCATATTATCTGAGAAATGAGAAGATATTTCATCCATAAAACAAGAACTAGACACTGTGATAACCAAAAGCGAACTCTGGAAATTTAAGAAAGTAATGGTTCAAAATTTTTTTTTAAATCAATAGGAAGTTGAAAGAGAGTTTAACAAAAAGACAAGGAAATGAAAAATGGGAGGGAAGATAGATTAACAAATCAGGATGTCCAATATTGAACTGGAAAAACATATAGGACAAGCAAACAAAGGAAACAAAGGGTATAAAATTAGTGATGAATACTATAAATTTCCTGATAAATATTTTCTTATCTATTGCACACTGTGCCCAGCATAGTAAATAACAACAACCAGCAAGGGCCGTCATGAAATTTCAGAACACTCTAACAATAAAGAGATGATTCTAAGTTGACAGAGAGAAAAGAAACTGAACTAAATAATGAGAATCAAAATGGATCCAGGCTTCTCAATAGTAGCACTACATGCCAGAAAAATAAAAAAAAAAAAAAACCATGGAGTGATGCCTTCAAAATTCTAAAGGAAAGAGATTTTTCACCTAGTGTTCTATGTCTAGCACAATCAGTCAAGGATGGAGATAAGAGAATTTTTATACTTGCAAGGATTTTCATGCATCCTTTATTAGGAAACTACTAAAGGATATGCTTCAACACAATCAGGGAGTAAAAACAAGAGATAGATATGGAATCCAGGAAACATGGGATTTTCAACACAGAAGCAAAGGAAGTCCTAAAATGATCATTTTCCATCAAGTCTATAGAGCAAATGATCCAGTTTCGAGCAAGAAGACTAAAGACTTCAGGAGAGAGGATCTCTGGGAAACAAGAGGACAGAACTGCTCAATTATTTGATGTGTTTAAGATGTAAAAAAAAGGATTGCTAGATATTTCATAGGTTTGTAAAAACACTTGCTTGGAAAAAGTAGTATGGTATTTAGCTGAATAGCAAACAATTTTTATCTAGTTTAATAATGTTACACTGACCATTGATTTAACAAAAATTGTTATACAAGTCTATTTGGAGGATCATGTAAGAAAAGATGGGAGTTGAGGACTGGTGAATAGAAAGATAAATTCTTGTCTAAAATAAAAACAGGAATAGATATAAAAGCATATAATTTAGAAATATATAGGTAACTTTTAGAAAAAACAGAAGGTGGAAAGTAGATGCCTCTCTGAGAAGGGATGGGAGGAAAAAATAATTGCTTTTGCTTTTTTAGTATATATAATAATTTGGTACTATTTTATTATTCTAACTGTTCACATACATTTTGATAAAAATAAAAGTCTAAAATATGTCAATCTATAAGATCAACATATCTATTAGATCGTAATTATAACTAGAAAAACTAAGTTGCTTTTTTTGGAAAAAATGCTTATGTTAACTCCTTGTGGTCTGCTGGTATTTAAAAGTCTTTACCTTCCACTGGGAATGCTGAGCTGGCAGTCTGGGGGAGCTGTAGTGTCTTGTGTGTGTTCCAGATGCCTTGAGAATCAGTCTTTGTGGGAGAGTGGAACACAAGCAGGTTTGACCAGTGTATTAATATCAGTAAGGCTAGCATAACCAGGGAGAGATGCACCAAGGTTCAGGTAAAGAGTCAAGTGGGGAAAAGATATATAAAATGCATGTATAGATCATGACTGCAACAACACAAAAATGGTATGTTCATAATGAGAAGGAAATAAGGACAAATGGAAACAGTTTGATGTGTCAGAAGTGGGAGCGGAAATACATTTTTTCCTTTAATTTAGAATTATGTGTAGACTGCTATAATGTTTGCATAAAATAGAATAAAGGTTTGGTTTTTTTTTAAGGAAATCAGTGACATTCTTTGCTCTGCCTCCCTCCTGCAGCTTAATTGCCTACACAGAACAATATATGGAATATGACCCTTTGATAACACCAGCTGAGCCATCCAACCCTTGGATCAGCGATGACGTCGCTTTGTGGGACATAGAGATGAGGTAAAAAATGTTTTAAGGTTTGGGAGTGGGATGAATGTAGACAAAAATCCATGAGATCATGAGATTACCTTATATTCTACCTTAATTTGACAGGTTTTTTTTCGCTAGAACAGAAACCCCTCAATTAGCCTCCCAGCTGAGTTCTACTTACAGTTTCTACCTCCCTACAACTTTGATTTGTGCATGGATCCCTTGTGGCTTCCCTCTGACTCTTTGGATATCATGATAACTGGGACAGTCCCCCACCATTCCCTAATTCTGATAGCTGGAAGAAAAGAATCTGTTGCTCCAAAGTTTTTTCCTGTTAGATAGCGACCACAATGATAATAGCTGGCATGTATTCTGCACTGGCCACATCCTGCAGTAAGTGTCTCTCACTGAATCCCCTCAACGGGTACACATTACTGTTCTCACCATTGAGCAGGTATGGAAACTGAGGCACAGAGGAGTTAATGAACTTGCCCAAGGTCATAGTGCTAGTAGGGCAGGGTTAGAACTAGAACTCAGGCAGAGGGCTCCAGAACCATGATTTCATCACTCTTTTCTTCTGGAGTAACTGCCAGCAGCGATTCCAGCCAGTTTCTCCTTCCCTATGAGGGAAGCCAGTGTGTTTGCTTACGAGGGGAGGAACCAAAGCCCAGAGGGACTTGGACCACTTTCAGAATTACAGAAGGAAACACACAGACAAAGCTAGTGTGGTGTGCTTTCGCACCCCCGTACCACGGCTGGATGAATTTTTATTTCCGTTTTCACGTCTCTGTCACTCTCCATTGTCTTTCACTTTTGCTCCTTTTCTGGCTTCTTTTCTTGAAATGGAAAAAATCTTATGAAAAGTAATGTAAGTCACAGATGCTCATTCTAAAACGTTCCAATTATCCAGATGTGCATAAAGAAGAAAATACTCTCTTCCTTCAACCTGATTTCACCTTCCAAAAAGAACCTTTGTTTATAGTCTAGTGCTGTGGTTCCCAGAGTGGATCAGAGCACCCTGGGCACTGTGGGGAACTCACAGAGTTACCACAGGATAGTCCACATTTTTTTAGGGAAGCAGTGATAGTTGACACATGCCAGATACTGCACTAACTACTAGCTTAAGATGGTTCAGTTTCAACATTAGAGCACATTACATCTCTTATGAGGATACGCATCTTTGCAAATCTGGTTTTTCAGAGCAGTCACTGTGATAAAAAGCAAGAACTATGCGAAAATTAACATGGAATAGGAAATAGGGATGGTAAGGTTCAATCTAATTTCAAAATTTAAGAAAATGTGTAGTGCCCAATAGGTGCATATTGTAGTTATTTAAGAATGAAAAAAAAATTTTCAATTTATGTATCTTTCAAACAGCTACTAAGTGTTAGGATACAAATACATATTAAGTTAATTGGTCCTAGCCATAATAAATGACACTGTTAACTATTTCTTTTGGCCCAGGGGCACTGTGAAAAACTTACTGAGACACTAAGGGTACCATGAGCTCAGCAAGTTTGGCAACATCTGATTTAGTGTCTATTACTTTGGATTTGTATGCATATATAACATTCTATCCTTTTGTATAATTGAGTTCAATATATATACCCAAATATATACACATATATATATAGTCCAATAATTTTTAAATTAACAATATGTTGTGGCAGTGTTTCCATGTAAACACATATAGATCCACCTTACTCTTTTTTTTTTTTTTTTCGCCCAGACTAGAGTGCAGTGGAGCAATCTGGGCTCACTGCAAGCTCCGCCTCCCGGGTTCTCGCCATTCTCCTGCCTCAGCCTGCTGAGTAGCTGGGACTACAGGTGCCCGCCACCTCACCCAGCTAATTTTTTGTATTTTTAGTAGAGATGGGGTTTCACCGTGTTAGCCAGGATGGTCTCAATCTCCTGACCTCGTGACCCGCCCGCCTCGACCTCCCAAAGTGCTGGGATTACAGGCGTAAGCCACTGTGCCCGGCCTACCTTACTCTTTTTAATAGCTACATGGTATCCCCTGGCACAGGTGAAGTAAAATTTATTTTACCAATCCCTGGATCATAAATATTTAGTTTATGTCCTCCTTTTTTGCCACCATAAACAATGATTCCAGGAACATCTTTCTACACAAGTTCAATTATTTCCTTAGTATAAACTTTCTAGGCATAGAATTTTAATTTTAGTTCATATGTCCAGATTCCTCTTGAGCAAAACTGTAACACATCTTTGTCATTCCCTTAGCTAAAAGTGCTCATATCCCCACATTCTTACCATCCCAAGCATCATCAATCTTTTTATCTTTGCAAGTCCAAAAGGTTAAAACAATTCTCGTTTTACTCTTTTGTTTCTTTGTTAATATACTTGAGAATCTTTTCACATGGTTATTAGACAGATTCTAGCAATATGTTTTGCTTTGGATATTGGGATATAAAACAGTCACATTTACTTGAATCATATATTTTGTCTTTTTCCTGATATATTTCTGAATCTCGTTCTATGTTCTTCTTTTTCTCTTCCCTGACTTTTACTTTATTAATCAAATTTTATATTAACTTTGTAAAAACCCTAGTTTCTATTCTAGTTGTATTTACTTTTAAATGTTTTAATTAAAAACATCATCGATTTAAACAAACAAGAGTGAAGCATATAAAATAGTGAAGTTGCCTTTGCCACCTTTAAATCCCGTTCTTCCCAGAGGTGTGTTAACTTGATATATTTTAAACCAACATTTCTGAACTTGTATTTCTATGAACATTTAAAAAACAACTAGTATATAGTATGTATCTTCTTTCTAATATTTCTGATGAGCCCTAGGTAGTTCCTTCTGTTCTAAGTTAAGAACTTAACTCTTTCTTTCACTCAGGATTTTTTTTCTCTTTTTAAAAAATCATTGCTGCTTTTTTTTCCATTCTATCCTCACTTTTCAGGAAATCCTTTTTTAAGAATTCTGGGCCTCTGGGATGGAGTTGCTACATCTCTTATATTTTCTCTGTTATAATTTCCATCTTTAGTCTTTTTATTCTGTATTCAAAGGATGCAATTTCCTGAATTGCTCTTCAGAATCACTGCTTTGATTTTTCAGTGGTGTCCATTCTGTGGTTTTATATTTTAATGAGTTTTTCTTTTCCCACTGAGTGTTGGGAGGGTAGTTGATAATCACGCTTTTCATTTCTAAGACTTCTTAATACTTCCTGGACTGTTGTTTTCCTAGTAGCCTGCTCTGTTCTATTGGTGTTTATCATCTTAATCCCCCTGGAGATGTGATATAGATTTTTTTCATAGTTTATATTTTTTCCATATTTTCATATCTCCTCTCTATTTCTGCCACTTAGTTTTATTCGGGGTTGTTTATTAGAGAATCATCATTTCTGGTTATTGTTTCATTCCCCTGGTCACTGCTCAGAGCAGATCATTCTTTCCGTATGCCCAGCTATTTGGAAGACTGCTCATTTTTATAAATGAAGGTATTAACTTTCAATCCTGCCATACATTAGAACCACATGGAAGTTTCTAAAAAATACGAATGCCTGGTCCTCACACACAGCCAATTAACTCAGAATTTCTGGCAACTGGGCATTTTTTTTAAATCTCCCCACACTCAGGGAGATTTAAAAAGTCAAATGTGTGGCCGTGGCCTAGGACTCCATCAGTAGCTGGTGAGGGTGCCCTCAGTGATGGTGTGGGCCAACAGCTCTAAGCCATGCTGTGCATCGGAATCACCTGGGCTCCTCTTTTAAAATACGCACATACTGGGGTGGCTCTGGGCGTCTGCATCTTGAGCAAGCACCCAAGGCATTCTGAGGCGCACCAGAGTTTAAGAAGTCCTGGTTTGGTTCCTGGAGTTGCCCTGGCAGGCTTTCCCCTGAGCGGTTCACACAGGAGCAGGGCTGCAGCTGAACATGTAAATGGATGAGCATAGGTCAATCGCCAAGGTTCCCCTCTGGGTCCTGGGTATGTGGCCCAAGAACAGATTGAAAGATTAAAAACCCTCTCTTCCAGTGAGACGGGCGGCAATGGGAATCTTGGGGAGGTAGACCCCCATCCTCCCTAGTGTGACATCCCTGCAGCCAAGTGTTCTGCTCTGTGGGTCAAGCCCTGATGGAGTTTCTGATGTCTTTCTGTTTCCTCGCCACAGTACTCCCCAACAAGTCTACTCTTCTCCCTCCTCTGCTGGGCCTTAGGGGATTCCACTTGGAGCCGCGAAAGCCAGTGAGAGGTGGGAAGAAAGCTAGCGGGTCTTTAAGGTCTCCCTGGTTCCCAGGATGTTTTTTCTCTGTGCGTGTGCTTTGCTGACAGGAGCACAATCCTCTGACCTTACTGTCCATATGAGAAGCTGGCCGGGAAACATCTCCCTTAACTTAGTAAACGCTTTCTGCCATGTGGAGCCTATTCCATGCTCCTGAGTTGCTTCCATTGTCTGATGCCCACCCCCTGCCTCCACTTCCAATCCTGCTGCTCAGAGCTTGGCGTTTTCCAAGGATTCTGTTGGGGACACTCAGCTATTTCTTCTCTGATGCCTCCAGTGGAATCGTAGGCTGCTGTCAATCCGTTATGCCACAAGTTCAGTCTATCTGCTTCGTGCCTTTCTAAAATTTCTCAAAGCTCTCATCTGCTGATAGGAAATTTCTTTGCCTCTATATACTATGTTTAGTTTTTTTGTTTTGGGTTTTTTTATTTACTTAACTGAGCACTGGGCTCTTGCCTGTTCCCTCCTCCTCGGTCACTTGTCCCCCATATCCTCACATGGCTGGCTTCACTTCTCATTCAAGTCTCACTCAGCATTGGTGTCCCTTCCTCAGAAAGGCCTTCTGTGACCACCAATCTAGAGTGGCCACCTCATCCCTCCAGCTGTTCTATGTCACATCCTCCTCCTGGTTCCCTTTCCAAATAGAACTTAGAATGATTTCAGCGCCTAGGCCTATCTGGCGCACAGTGGGCACCGTGTGGGCTGGAGGGAGGATGGAGGAATAAGTCATTCTTTATTTGATTGTTTCATTGGTATTTGGGAAAGGAGGAGAGGCAAGTGTGTG